TTCTCTCTCTCTCTCTCTCTCACACACACACATACACACACTTATGATCTTTCTCTCTCTCTCTCTGTCCCTCTCTCTCTCTCTCTCTCTCTCTCTCTCTCTCTCTCTCTCTCGCACACACACACAGACACGCGCACACACACATACAGACACACGCGCACACACCCACCCACACACACACACACACACACACACGCACACACACACACACACACACACACAATCAATCAATCAATCAATCAATCAAACTCCTTTTTTGATATTTTTTCTTTATTTATTTTCAAATTTTGCATCTGCATTTTTTTAGACACGTCATACCCCTGCAAAAAACAGAAATTCATTTCTTAAAAAAATACAGGTGAACTCAGAGACCATATATCTCATGATAAAAAATGACAAAAAAAAAATCCAGCTCTTCTTTATAAATATATATATATTTTTCTTTAAATCGAATTTAGTTTTTGATTTTTTAAAACTCCTAAACAAAGTCGGATTCCAAAAAGAAAAATATGGGGTTGTAGGGCTTAAAATTCCCTACAACCCCATATATATATATATATATTTTTAACGATTATTTAATTCAGGAAAATTCTGGTAAAATCGGGTCTGCCACGCGGACCAGGTCGGCCGCGGAGGCGGCCCCATCTGCGTCCGCCATCCGAGATCGAACCCGCGTACGCATCCGCGGGTGTTTCATAGCCCACCCGGCCTCGCCCCCTCCTCTCTCTCTTTCTCTTCCCCACAGTAGCCACCACGTGTTCCGCATCCCGATGCGCCTGAGTGCGAGCCGGCATGTGCGCATCCTGAAAGAAACGGCCTTGCTGCCCCCACGGCTCATGAACGACGTCCTTCCCTCGGTCCCTCGTCGATGGCCCGCGCCTTGCTGTCCGCGCACCCTCGTCCTCGACGTTGTCAACGTTGACCACCTCCTCGTCACCCCTCTCTTGTCCCGCCCCTCCCGCGCCTCCCTCGTCCCGGCGTGGATCCATGGCAAGTGTTGGACCGTGAAGCTCATCGAACTGAAGCATGCAGTCAAGGATCTTGCCTTCCAGCTTGTAGTCCGAGTTGTAGTTTATGTCCACCAGCGCCTCGTCGGTCACTGACGGACACCCTTTCCCCTGCCTGAAATCGCGTGCCGCAACATATTGGTTTCCCTGGAACTCATCGCCGCAAAACAGGCACTTCAACATGCAGTTCCTGCAGAACCTCTCCCCGAGACCTGACCCACGCGGATGTACTTGTAGACACAACACTTCTTCTGCACCTTGCGATTCTCATCTTCACCGACGTCCTCGAACGCCCACACCTGCCCTCGCGGCTTGTTTGTCGTGCGCTGTAGGCCTCAGCGGCCTCAGCAATCCTCGCCCTGGTCACTCCAATGGGCCACCGGTGTGTCCGAAAACCCCCGCCGCTCCTCCAAGCTGTCCCAGGCCTCGCTCCGACGCGCCAAATAAACGCCCGCCACACACCGGGCCCGTCAAATAAACGCCCGCCACACACCGGGCCCGTCACCGCGCCGCAGTAGTGTTGCGGTCAATTTTTGAACGCACGTTCAAGAAATAAACGCGTGCGTTCAATAATTGAACGCGCGTTCAAAAAAAAAACGGGTGCGTTCAATGACTGAACGCGCACTGTCTGATTAGGTGGGTGGCCCACTGGCCGTCGCCGGCGCCGCCGCCGTCGTCGCTGCCGTCGTCGTCGTGGCCGTCGTCGCCGCTGCCGTCACCATCGTCACCGTGTCCACGCTGCCGCTCTCTCTCTCTCTCTCTCTCTCTCTCTCTCTCGGTCACTCTCTATCTCTCTCTGCCTCTCTCGGTC